CCCCAAAACCCCAAAACCCCAAAACCCCAAAACCCCAAAGGAGATGAAATAGGTTGAAAATTGGAAATTTGGTGTGATTTGAAATAGAGAAAGAAGGTTTAGTATTAAAGATGAGAATTAGGACCTATTGTTTGAATGGATTCTGAATACCGTGCTTTTGGCGCATGTGGAACTATAAAAGAGTAAATATTGGTATACTAAGCTTTAATAATCACCCTCAAGAAATAGTATATATCGAACTTACCTGTAAATTATGCTTCTCGGTGAACATTCCATTTCATAACGAGCAGGGGATCACCTTTCTCTCTTCCAATTTAGGGGTGATGTGCTGTTTCAAGTGCTTATCTCTGTTACCTTTTTGAATAAATCTTCTTTGGCAATAATTGCATTTGTACTTCTTGATGTTGAAGTGCATTCTCATATGCATGGCAATATTCTGGGCTCTTTCAAAAACTTTAGAGCACCCATCTACCTTACATTTGTAGTGGACAACTCTTTTCTCTGCTTCTTGGATCTGAGAAGACAGGAATTCTGAGAAATGTCCCTTGTAATCATTGAGTTCTTCTATAAAACTCGTCTGTGTCCTAAAACAATTGTTAGCCTTGAGCATTCAAATTACAAGCAATGAGGCTATATCTCCCCCAGTAATTTTAAGACGAAATAACCAAGAATTTGGGTAAATTTTAAAGAAAAATTCAGATGAATACCTATTAAAAATAGATAAATTTTCAAGTTTACACAGTCTTGGACTATTTCTACTATGACATAAATTAATAGTCTATGATTAGTGCTAGACTTTCAAGATGATCTTTAAAATTAAATTTAACTCAATTAAAACCGTCCTTTGCTTCCTATGCTTAAGGGATCCCATCCTTCGATGTCCAGATAAAATGAGTTGACCGAAGGGAATAAATTATTTCTTGAAAAAGGAGATTTATGAAAAATTCACACAATGAGGTATACCCCTATGCTAGCAGGCAAGAAGGGTCCTTTGGAAGAATTTAGTATCCATAAGCTAAAATATGAAGAATTGTAGCCTATTTAGTCTCTGAATAATATAATAAAATAGTAGCCATTATTATCAAATTCACTATGTAAACCACAAAATATATTCATTTCCTCCATTTTAAGCTCAACCAGGAAATGGCTCAGAGGTTGGCAATAACAAGGAAATGAATAATTTAGGTAAAACTGGCTATTTCATCAAATTTTAGTCGCCTTTGTTTGCAGATTCAATCATCCTATCCCTTCTAGCCCAGATTTAAAGGAAGAGTCTGAACAAATAACTCGGTTTAAAATTAATTATTAGTGAAATTATCACAGAGATGCATATTTAGTTCGACACAAGTTGTCGAATTTTGAATGTTATAAATTCTTCACAATTTCTGCCCATAAAAGTTCTAATTAGAAGGTTTAGAAATAACCTTTGTTCGGAGATTAGTGTTTTAATTCATGCTAGCTAAACTAAGATATCTTAGAACGATGATATACGCTTCTAGGCAAGTTGACTCAAAAGTGGAACGGATTAGGTCTCCCTTTTTGGTGCAAAATTGGGCAAGCTAAGGCCCGAATAGAAGTAAAATATAACACAGTAAAATATAGCTAGAAGTGTGCGACGATGGCTGAAGAGTGAAGAGATAGATGCAAATTTAGAGGAGAAGGTGGTTGAGAGAGGAGGTTAGACCAAGGTGAGGAGTAAAGGAATTTTGGCTTTAGGAGGAGGAGAGGTGGGATATGGTGCTATTTGATGTCCGAAATTAAGAATTATGAATTTCTGATGGGTATATGAAAATCTAATAAACCATCTTATGCTCCTTTCCAAAATCAAATTTTATATCCTTTCCTAAGTCTTAAAACCGCTTTCCAACCCCTTAAAAAATATCAAAACAGCTCTATCATATCTCCCAATCTCAGAATTCTTCATTTTCCAGGTACTATTTCTATCCACCTACTCTTTTCTTTTATTAACTTTTGTCTGAACACCATGAATCCTCTGCTCCTTGTCTTCTTCCATATTTTTGAGGTCTCTTCTTCTATTTCTCCTTTTCTGACTTGCTTCTAGGCTCTATAAGGATTATTAGCAATATTTTGGAGAATAAAAGGAAAGGTAGCCTTATCTAAAGTTGATATTAAAATATGAAGATTATGAACGTTATTCACCGCATTTATTTATAATCATAAGAAAGAGCTATGTTACCCTTAACTGATTTGCTGTTAGACTAGTGCACAGAAGCTAAGGGGCTAGAAGTGGCCTAATTTAGTCCTAAAAAGCATTTGGTATACTCAGATCTACCCTAACTTTCTTTTCTATTTCAAAAATTCGCCAAAATTGAAGAAAGTAGATACACATATTAAGTATTATTTGATTCGTTTACTATTGAAAACTTAGATTTTGTGCTAAGCTTGACATTTCTTCACAAAAAGTGGTTTAAAGGCAACTAAAATCTATGAAAACCAGCCCTAACTTGGTCTAATGATAACACAGGAGGAACTGAGCATCCAAATGGTGTTGACCATCTATTAATAATTAGATTACTCTGAATTATTTAAAGTAAAAATAGAGGTTTTTCTATAGAAAAGGAACATTTCATGATTACGTAGAGACTCCTTGTAATCAGCAAGTGGCCTTGTTAGCAAGCCCCATACTTTCCTTGGTGGACTACTAGAAATGAATTCATCTAAGCATGAAATTTATAGTGAAGAGCCTGCAAACCTTGAGGTGAAAGGAGAACTTCTTAATTTATTAAGTATAGCTCAAAAGTTCTAGTAGTAGAGAGTGTTTCCTCAATTTTACCAAAGGGTACAAAAATCTTTGTTTAAACTCCATTTTCAAAAAGTGGTGGCTACTAACCCAAGTCAGTACTAACTCGCTCTGCTATTCCTTTCAAAAATATTTCTAATAAAGCCTGGCTCCAAGAGTAGATCCTCTCAAGGGTTAGCTCCTCAGGAGTTACACAGAATATATCCAGGAAGCCTAAAATATTGTTTGAAGAAGTTCATATTTAACCGTAGAATTCCAAGGTTTACTACCCAAAGGAGTTTCTCCATTAATAAATTTCGGAATTTACGACCTGGCTTTTGAACTAGGCTCAATTTAGGAGATAGATTCTAGTGAATTTCTGTAAATCAAGAATTTTCCTGAATTAAAACCGGATTAGAGGGTTGAAATGGGCATGAAGTAAACTTGAAAGTGGATGATTGGAAGTAGAGGGGGTTTATAAAAATGCTGTTGACAGCAGAATTTTGTGAGGTTTTAGTTGGGAAAATGAAAAAAGGATTGGGTGGTACCATAAACCTCAACCTCTACCCCTTCTCTGTTCCCACCACGCCTCTAAAACCACAAAACTTAACCCCCAAATTAGCCCACTTTTATAACTTAAAGTCTTCGGACCAGGCCTCTCTTCCTTTAGGCCTGGCTTTTAGCAGCCATTTTTCAGGACCTTAATTCCTAAATTTCTTACCTCAGAATTTTCCTCCAGTCCTTGACCTTCACGTACAAAAGTTGAAACCTGTGCGTACTCAGGAAGGAATTCTGGAAAAATTAGGTTTATGCTCAGTAAGCGGGGTTCTTGGGCGAGCGTGTTCAGAGGAGGGAGGAGGAGGTGGGAATGAGTGAAGGGGTCTAGAAGGAAGGTTAGTAAGTAAAAGGGCAAGTAATAATGGATAGTAAGCATTTCTTTCTCGAACAAAACCTCTCTTCTCTATCCTACGAATCCGTGGACAGTTTCGTACCTTTCCATGAAAGCTGGTTTACACAGTAAAATATTACTTAGAGATTTCAGGAATGCCACAGTACTTATCCCAATCGAACATACTAAAGTCTAACTCTAATCTATCTGAACCAGAAGTTTATGTATCTCTGAGCCTCAATGTGTTAAATTTTCCTAATAAATTGAAGAAATTTCCCAGTTTCATATGAAAATGTAGAACAAAATCTAAAATTTTGACAGTAGAAATTTCAAGGTGCAGAAATTTATGTGGGATTTTTAGAATTTTAGGGATTTAGAGGGTAAGAATGGGAGAACTTACTGTTAGGCAAGTGGCAGTGACAGTAGGATGAAAAGTCAAGGCTGGGCAGAGCTTGAGCGTGCTTTGGGGACTCAGAGGGGCTTTTTGGAAACCCTTTTGGCTCTGATACAAGTACTTTGTTTTTATAATGGATCATTTAATTATCTATTGTTTCAAAATTTTGCCTTTATAAAGGGGTTTTGGGGTTTTGGGGTTTTGGGGTTTTGGGG